AGGGGTCCATTGGGAACGGGTTCACAATAATCCGCGCATCTATAAATCAGACGTGTCATGGAGTACTTGTTGGCCCACTTCCGCCGGAAGTCCGCCCCTAGATTACTTGGATTTCTTCGCATTACGGCCAGGAAGTGCCAATGTCTGCATGCGCAAATACGTATTAACGTCATTTGCGTTTTCGAGGTTAACCTTTGACAATTGAACTCCATCTGCTGCGAATGTCATCAGAATAAAACTCAATTGGCGGAAATTTGAGGACAGAGGATCAGCCTCGACGTCAGGATTTCGATGATTTATTTTGAAAACTCGTATAACACCATGCGACGAATTGCTTGTAAAGCATAGTCAAATTTTGTACGAATTTATTATTCTTGCAGGAAATTAAATCTCCAACTACTTGTATTCCAACTTCATAAAATATTCACATTGATGGAACTGAAACCATGACATCCAGTGAGCTTCAATTTAACATTTTTTAGAATATTGCATATGCAATAGCTAAAATAATTATGGAGAAGCCGGAGTTTTAAAAAGTTTTACTTTTCGGGCCTACCCTTTAATTATGTACTTAAGAGTATTTCGAACCCACATTAATCCCGTGAATTGAAACAAAAACTCGAAAAAATAAATGTGGCAATGGAACACCTGGTAAATGAAGCGACACGGCAGAGCTAATAAATATCTAATTCATTATCAGCATCAATGAAAAGAGAACAGGAAGGGAGAATACAACAATCGCGTTCGAACACACGAGTTGGGAACACGAAAAAAAAAACAACGCCAAAAAAAAAAAATCGCGCCGGCATTTTACAACGAAAATACCAACACCTTTTTTTTTTTTCTTCTCCTTTTCCCTCTCTCTTTCTCCTTTGTTACTAAAAAATTCAATCGGAACACAAGAATATCGCGCAATTCTTTTCGTCTTATCTCGTTTCCGAACCCATCATCCGAACCCAGATCCCGAATCACACAACAGGAAAAAATCTCGGACAACCCGGTTCTCTTCTCTTTTTTTTTTCTTCTTCTTTCTCCCAATTCTTCCGACAGCAGCAAATTTTCAAAAAATTTTGGCACAGCTCGCAGAAAATTGATGCGACTCCTGTGGAAGAACCCCCACCTGAACTTGCGGTTTCCTTACAAAAGAAATGTCTCATTCAATTTTTTCTAACAAGACACAAATCTTCGTGCGTATGGCACACATCGCCAGCATTGACCAAAATCAATCAATCAATCAATCATTTTCTCTCCCCCGCCGAAACGCGATGCGAACGATTTCTTTCGCCCCCAGCTAATCCGTGAACCGAAAAACGAAAATTGGAACACACAAAAAATTTTGCATTTGTTTTCTCCCCCCTCATCATAAACGCGATCACAACGAGACGAATCACATCCAGAAAGAAATTGGAAATGCGATGGAAAATTCCGATAAAAAGACAAGTTTTTCTCTCTCCATCGATTCCGTTTCGTTCGCAGTGGTCCATCGAAAAAAATAAAGAATTCGAATCAAAATCAGGAATTTCTTTTTCTTTGCTTCTCCCTTCCCCCCTGAAATTTCCGGGGTAGAGGATAAAATAAGAAGATTGTTTTTGTTCTCAGTCACGCTTGAGCTTTCCGAGGATCAAAATTTTATAAATCTTTGTCCCTCGTTTTAGCCACACACGAAAAAAACCCCACAAGATTTATCCGAAATTGACGAGTCATAGCAAGACTTACACACACACACACACATGACGGTATGAAATTTCAGAAGGTCTTCCACCGATTACATAACTTTACGACGAACAGAACATCGAGAGACACCAAATTTTTTTTTCCTTTAAAAACTTTCCTCCTCCGACACATTTTCATTCATGAAAAAAAGAAAAAGAATATTTCCACGCGTAGGAATGAAGTACTGTACTCAAGTTTTCGGTGACCTTCCAATTTGAATCACCCCGTGAGGAATTTTGCAGGAAATTAATCAAGAGCTCGATCAAGTACAATCCGAAAAAAAAGAGGAAATCATTCTTCTGGAAATTGAATAGAAAGGACAGAATCTTACGTGGTTTTCGAGGAATTTTGTATTACTTGGTCTGTCTTTGGGGTTTCAATTTTCCTTCTTACTCAATTGACAAGAAATTTAGACGGGCCCGAGATCCATCAACTTTCGGAAAGGAATGCTTCAGTTTCGAAAACAAAACCTTTCGATTTTCGAACTTGAAAAAAATGTGACCCACAAAATGTCTAGGGATTGCAAAAAAAAAAAAAAAAACTTTGGACTTGATGCAACTTTGAATCCGACTAAGAAACCTGTTTTCTAGAGTTTACGCTGCGAATAAAACTTTTTATTTCAAATTAAGGATGCATTTTGAAAAAAAAAAACTCCACCTCCTGTGCCAATCAATGACAGCCCAGAAAAGAATATTGTATCCTTTAAAAAAACCTAAAAAAGAAAGAAACTGATCACTGAAAGCTGGAAGACTTCCAGTCAATTACAACTGACTAAATTTCAGTTAAACTGGTCCCATTTACACAGCAAAGTAGATTTGGAAATATAAGTCAAGGATTTTCGCCCTTTCAGCTGACACTGACTTTTTGGAGGATGGAAAAGTTCCTCGGAAAATTTCTTGAAATTGAACTTGAGGACAGCGTATAATTTTCCAGGATGTTTCAATAACATACTTGTATCATTACGGTAAAATGTTAGTTACATGGAAAAGATCAACAATTTCCAGGAGCAATACGTAAACTTTGAGGACAGCGCACAATTTTTCTAGAACTTTTCAAAAAGCGATACCTTAATTCATTAAAATAAAATTTGGGTGACCAGGAAACACACAAAAAAAATCTGGGACAAAAGTGTTAGAAACCTCTGCTTTCAATATTTCTCAAGAGCAATTACTTTCGGGTATTCAGAGCACCACAAGAAAACAAAGAAATATTCAAAGATTAAAAAAAAAATCAGACAGAAACACTAAAAAATCGCGGTAAAGCAGAAATATTCCATAAGATGCAGCCGATGATCTTAGTGTCTGATCAAATATGTTCTGTGATATTTTATGCCAAAATTGAAGCTATGCGCAATTTGAATATATTTTTAATTTGTTTCTAGATCGTTGGGTTGATTTAAAAAATGTTCTGCATGGTTTCAATGCTTGTTTCATTCAAATTGCACTTTAGGAATCAAAAATGTGATTATTTTCACGAAATAAACTTACTGGGAGAAAAGTGAAGTCTAAAAAAAGGAGCGTCTTTACCTCGAGTTACAGACACAGAAGCAAGATTTCTACTTCATCGTTATAAATTGTATCCCACCAGTTATTTTTTTCTTACGAGAAGATTAGGAGTTTCTTCCGACGCCGGTTGAAAACCAAGGCATAGATTTCTCCGGAAGCTTCCAAAATTTGCGTTTTTTAAATAAATTGGTACATGCGAGGAAAAAAATAAAACGCGGAGTAAGAGTCGAACAAAATCTCCGTCCAAACTGTTTCCTCCTTCATGGCCAAGACTTGGATTTTTCGTTTGATTTTATTCCCCCTCTGAAATCCCCAAATAATCATCACCGAGAAAATTGTTGAAATTAAGCAGGAAATAAAAAATTACTATCGTGAACACGAATTCCCTGTCTAACCCCATCCTATTCCGCCACTGCCTTCTCTCCAAATAAGTGTTCCTCAGAAGAAACCCCCACCAAAACAACAACAAGCTCTTGATCGCTGGCCATAAAAATTTAAAATTTTGTTCAAAAAAAAAAAATGAGAAAGAGGGCGACACCAAGAGAAGAACACAAATCCTCTCTCTCTCTCTCTCCCTCTGCTTCATCGGTCAAAATCAATCCCGGAGTCCGGACTGACAGCAGTCGCCGCCGCTGCAGCAACAGCCGCCACCGCCGCCACAGCCTCCACATCCGCCACACTACTCGCATCCGCCGCCTTGAGCGTGTCCGAAGACGTGTCCACCCCGACGGCGTCATCATCATCATCTTCGCCGCCTTCATTATTATCGTTATCGTCATCAGTGTCGTCGGCGTCGACGTCCATGCCCACGCCGGGCACCACGCCGTCGTCTTCGCTGCATGACCCAGCAAGGACTCGGACTCGCGGCACATTTCCTCCTCCTCCCCCTCCCACAGCCTTCGACATCGTCGCTGTCGAGTCCAAACTGGATGACTCTNAAAAAAAAAAAACTCCACCTCCTGTGCCAATCAATGACAGCCCAGAAAAGAATATTGTATCCTTTAAAAAAACCTAAAAAAGAAAGAAACTGATCACTGAAAGCTGGAAGACTTCCAGTCAATTACAACTGACTAAATTTCAGTTAAACTGGTCCCATTTACACAGCAAAGTAGATTTGGAAATATAAGTCAAGGATTTTCGCCCTTTCAGCTGACACTGACTTTTTGGAGGATGGAAAAGTTCCTCGGAAAATTTCTTGAAATTGAACTTGAGGACAGCGTATAATTATCCAGGATGTTTCAATAACATACTTGTATCATTACGGTAGAATGTTAGTTACATGGAAAAGATCAACAATTTCCAGGAGCAATACGTAAACTTTGAGGACAGCGCACAATTTTTCTAGAAATTTTCAAAAAGCGATGCCTTAATTCATTAAAATAAAATTTGGGTGACCAGGAAACACACAAAAAAAATCTGGGACAAAAGTGTTAGAAACCTCTGCTTTCAATATTTCTCAAGAGCAATTACTTTCGGCTATTCAGAGCACCACAAGATAACAAAGGAATGTTCAAAGATTAAAACAAATCAGACAGAAACACTAAAAAAAAACGCGGTAAAGCAGAAATATTTCATAAGATGCACCTGATGATCTTAGTGTCTGATCAAATATATTCTGTGATATTTTATGCCAAAATTGAAGCTATGCGCAATTTGAATAGATTTTTAATTTGTTTCTAGATCGTTGGGTTGATTTAAAAAATGTTCTGCATGGTTTCAATGCTTGTTTCCTTCAAATTGCACTTTAGGAATCAAAAATGTGATTATTTTCACGAAATAAACTTACTGGGAGAAAAGTGAAGTCTAAAAAAAAAAAACATCGGAGCGTCTTTACCTCGAGTTAAAGACACAGAAGCGAGATTTCTACTTCATCGTTATAAATTGTATCTTATCAGTTTTTTTTTTCTTACGAGAAGATTAGGAGTTTCTTCCGACGCCGGTTGAAAACCAAGGCATAGATTTCTCTGGAAGCTTCCAAAACTTGCGTTTTTTAAAAAATAAATTGAAATATACGAAGACAAAAATAAAATGCAGAGTAGGCGTCAAACAAAATCTCCGTCAAAACTGTTTCCTCCTTCATGGCCAAGACTTGGATTTTTCGTTTGATTTTATTCCCCCCTCTGAAATCCCCAAATAATCATCACCCGAGAAAATTTTTGAAATTAAGCAGGAAATAAAAAATTACTATCATGAACACGAATTCCCTGTCTAACCCCATCCGATTCCGCCACTGCCTTCTCTCCAAATAAGTGTTCCTCAGAAGAAACTCCTCCACCAAAACAACAACAAGCTCTTGATCCCTGGCCATAAAATTTAAAATTCGGTTCCAAAAAAAAAAAAGAGAAAGAGGGCGACACCAAGAGAAGAACACAAATCCTCTCTCTCTCTCTCTCCCTCTGCTTCATCGGTCAAAATCAATCCCGGAGTCCGGACTGACAGCAGTCGCCGCCGCTGCAGCAACAGCCGCCACCGCCGCCACAGCCTCCACATCCGCCACACTACTCGCATCCGCCGCCTTGAGCGTGTCCGAAGACGTGTCCACCCCGACGGCGTCATCATCATCATCTTCGCCGCCTTCATTATTATCGTTATCGTCATCAGTGTCGTCGGCGTCGACGTCCATGCCCACGCCGGGCACCACGCCGTCGTCTTCGCTGCATGACCCAGCAAGGACTCGGACTCGCGGCACATTTCCTCCTCCTCCCCCTCCCACAGCCTTCGACATCGTCGCTGTCGAGTCCAAACTGGATGACTCTGGGTGATCGTCGAGCAGTTCTCGGTGACGTGCCCGAAGTGCGGGCAGTTGTTGACGCTCAAACTCGAGCAGTTGGCCGAGGAAGGTGAAGTTGGGTGCGATGTTGCCCTTGCGACGACGGACAAAGTCGAAGGCGTCGTTGAGGCTCAGGTGGAGCTTGAACATGAGGTAGGCCAGGGTGAACGTGACGGACCGGGAAACGCCTGCCAAACAATGCACCAACACGCCGACTCCCTTTGACCGTGCTTCGTCTGGAAAGAAAGAAACGAAACAAAAAAAATGAATAAATCGCAGTATGTACAGTAGTGTACTGTACAGTACAGTATTTACTCGAGTACAGTTTAACCTGCTAAACCGCCAACATCTCTGCAGCAAGATTTTGGCGGTTTAACAAGGGTGGCGGTCTATCGAGGGTAGTGGTTCACTACAAAATTACTACAGGACAAAAAAAAATTAAGAAAAAGCATGATGAATATAAGAAGATTTTTACATTAATATATGACTTCTTGTGTGTTTTTATTAGTGTTCTTGTTTAATTTTGTAGCAAATATTGCATCCATTTGTTTTTGATTTTTCAGCCATTGCATTCTGTTCATATTTTTAAATTGAATCTCTCTCCAAATTGGCGGTTAAAAGGGGTAAAAAAACAAGGGCAGGTGCTTATTTGTGGCCAGAAAATTGTTGGCGGATGGCGGATGGCGGTCTATCAAGTTTTCCCCATCCTTTTAACATTGGGGAGATTTGTTTGAGGTAAAAATATGGCGGGAGGTGAGGGTGGCGGTTTATTGGGGGGCAGTTTAACAGGGTTTGACTGTACCATGCACATGTACCCAGCTTTTTCAGTCTATATAGCCCAGAGGAAAGAAGCGCACCCCATTTTTAGTGACTCTATAACTGCAATCTTTTGAAAATACAGTGAGACCCCCCAATGCAGACACCTTGACCTGCGGACAATTCGACATAGGGACACTTATTTTCCCAGAAAAAATTAATAAAAAAGGCCTGACATGAGAACACTGACTCGACATAGGGACATTTTGCGATAAAATTGCAAATACATTTCAGGCCAGATTACAAGAAACAGATATTTCCAACCCTAAAATTGATGAAAGAAAAGTTCTTTGGCATTTCTCTCACCAATTTACCATCCATTTAGCAAATTTAAAAAAATTACCTCCAGCAAAGAGGGACTTTCCTTCTCTCTTTTTCACTCACGAATTCAGCGACGATGACTCATTTAGTGCGTTTGAAGGAGTTCATGTTCAGGCCATAAGTTCAAGTGATGCCTGCAAGCCTAAATAGCGAAACAAGGCAGCAAATATATCGATCTCATGGAATTCTGAAGAATATTTCTTCTATAAAACACCAATTAAAAAATTATAAAATGTAAGTCTATGGGAAAACAAGACTCAACTTAGGGACACTCTTGATGCACCAATTATGTCCGCATCTTGGGGTCTCACAGCACCCAAGCTGGAATTTAGACATACAGTAAATTTCACCGGATTTGAACCAATGTTCAAACGTTTCCTACTTGCTCAATCTTAGAAGAGAAATAAAAAAAACTTCCAATATTTATCAAGGATTTAATAAATTGCATTCCAGAATATCCAGATACTTTTGCAGCATTCAAAATATGTTTTCAATCAGAAGCAATCATGAACTCCACCTGAAAATCCAGTAGGCGCCTTTGATATTATGAAATGGAAAAATGGAAAAGCTTGTGCGTCTGGAAGTTGACGAAGCATGATTACATTCGATTTATTTTGAAACCAGGCGAGTCCGTTGGTTACACTAGCTTAGTTTGCAAGAAACGTTTCCAGTGCGAATCAGGATTTCATTAGTCGAATTTCAGAAAAACTTTTCTTCCCATTTTTGCTTCGGTCAGAAGCAATCATGTACACTTCACCCGCAGGTGATAGAACGATATTTAATATTTACAATTCTCGAAAAAAAAAACTGGGAGGAAGTTTCAACTAAGGCGCAGTTTTATTCAATTAAATTTCTTCAGAATCAAAGGAATCCGTTGACTGGACCAGCGATTCTTCGCCAGCTTTTTTTTGAGCACGTACATTATAAATGAGGATTAAAAAAAATATTGAATTTCAAACTTCTTTGCGAAATACTGTGCCGCTCAAAAACTATCACGGACGGTTTATCTGAGACGCAATCACCTCCAATAAATGATTTCTGAGAGAAAAATCTGCTCTCAAATTTTCGTAAAGGGGGTACAATTTACAATTTGAAAATGCGGCATATGCGCAATCGGGATGTCGAAGGCGTAAAATAAATTTTAAAAAACTTGGGAGATGGTTTTTATTGGAAAAATTACAAGCACATCTTCATCGTGTCCAACAACTCGAGCCAAGAACACTTCAACGTTTTTCTTCCCTTCAAATTCCAATGGAATTATGAATTTCATACTGAAGCTTCGAAGTTTAAACCATTAAACGGAGAACTAAAAATTTCCCCCTTAAAAGCAATGATTCTGAGTCTGACAGTCCATAAAATGAATTGTATTCCCGTCAAGATACGAAGGTAGTTTATTCAGATTTCCTTTGGAAAAACTACAGCACCTGAAATATTACAATTAATTTCTGGATTAATCTGGTACAATATTCTGAAATTTATTTTGAGCGATTCTGATTGTTATGAAAATTGTAATGAAAGTTTTAAAAAACGCCTTCATTTATTTTACGAATGAAGGAAAAAAATCCCAAACCTCAAGCTTTTTTCAAGCAGCTAAAAAAAACATTGCAAAAAAAGGCTCAAAATTCCGAAGACTCGATTGAGATAAGCAACTAGACATAAAACATGCAGCTTGTAGAAAAATTAAAAAAAAATTGAGCGAAAAAAAAAAGCTTCACCACAAACGACCACGGAAATAAACCCACAGGAGCACCGGAGCCATTTTTGTTCATTCCCAATGCAAATGTCAAAATTGCATCGTAAAAGCAGGAGCCAGGAAAATAAATTGACTCGGTGGAAAATCAAGAGGCCTTGCAAAAGAAATGTTAATCTAGTAGCATCAACGGTTTACACTGTAGAACACTCGATGACCCCGGCAGCGAACCCATGGATTAACGGGGTTGCCTTGATTCTTCTTCTTTTGTTTTTTTTTCCCCCGCTTTATTTTCTCATTACAATTTTTACCCAGTGAACCTCGTTTTCGCCTTAACAGCGAGCAATCGCGCGGAAAATAAGCAAAGAAATCATACACATGCTGCATAGTAAATCTCCGCTATCAGATTGAACCTGCCGACCTTTCACCCATCTCGTACCCCATTTTTGCAGACATGCAATTTGCATCTAGGATTTCCTCTATTCTTCATTTTTTACGCGTCGGCATAAATTTGTTCTCATTTGTAATCAACACGGCCTCGAAAAGCTGTGCGTGTAGACTAAGCGACAGAGCGTTTGAATATTCGTATGATTGATCAGGCCTCCTTTAAAAAAAAAATCACGATTCTGGCATTTTTTTTTTCAATGTTATTTCAGTTGAAGTTATTTCTTTAGCTTAATTATTAAGATGCTAGCATGATTAAACAATTTTTTAAAATTCCCGGAGAACGGTTGACAAAACCCCAATCTCCATTATTGTACAGGTATAATCTGAGGTACAGTAAGTACTTGGCATTTTCTCAGAATAACCACATCACCCAAAATAATAGAAATAGTTTCTTAATTACTTCATTACAGAATCCTAAACTCCACTTTGAACAATTATGTGATTCAGCTCCACAAAATGTTAAAAAAAAGTTAAATTATCCCTTTACTGGCCATCACAGACGACATCTACACAAAACCAGGGAAACTTCACCACAAGGGACAACTCGATGTTCTGGTTGAAACTTTTTGCCCCGCTTTATAACATATAGTAATGTAGGTCAGGTTACGACATAAAAGTTTCACATTAGCATTAAGGACTTTAAATCTCCTCGTTTCGAACGCGTTTAAATAACCAAACAAGCTGCTGTCAAAAAATGCTTCGAAAAGCAATGTTCCGAAATTTCCGGAGAAAATTTGCAAAATCGGTTTCTCAAGAACTCTTTGCATACACAATTTTGTATCAAATTTATTTTTGGACTTTTCTATAGGAAATGCGATCGTATTCAGCATTTCTCATGAAACGAAACAATCATCTTGAGGTTATGCCAACACAATTTCGATCATGTCCTCGATCAGCGAATTTCTCATGCTCGTAAACAAGATAGATGAAGTAATGAATTATTTTTTCGACAAATAAATTGGATGGGAAAAACACAATTTGTGTTTGTCTCTCGAATAAAGACCGGAAATCTCAATTTCCGATTCGAAAGCCGTTGATAAAAATGTTGAAAATTATAATTCGAATTTCTCTCGACAAATACTGTAGTACGAAAAAAAAAATTAACGCCGCCGACGAGAAGCGAAAGCCTATCAAGAATTCGAGGATATTCATTATATTTTCCTCAAACCCTAGATAGAAGATAGATAGAATCTAGATAGATAGAAAATCAGAGCTCATGATCTCCTTTCAAAAATCTAAAACGTTTACGTGCTTAAAGCGCTTTTTTTTTAGCAGTCACTGCAAAGCTTTGCCTACGCTTTAAAGCAGCCGAAGCTTTATACCTGCTTCTCAAGAAGTTTACGACGTGTCTTTATGCGTTTTCCATAATCAAGGGCAAAGTTTCAAACTCAACTATACTGAGTCCGGAAATCAGGCGACCTTTCTTCAAAAATAGAGCACTTAGGAAACTTGCACCACTTCTTATAAAATTAAGAATATCACTAAGAAATTCCTTGCCCAACATACAGTTAGAGGCTTTAAAATGTAAAGTGAATCGCAAGTGCAAAAGCGCGGCGAAATTTATATTTAATTTTCCTCGGATCATAAACACAAGATTATCATCAAGCTTAAAAAAATAAAATAAAATACACGACCCCGGAAACTATCACGATTTTTCGAGCAAAAGCAGAGCAGCAACAAAACCTTGCGACTCTCCGAGCGAATTACTCCATCAAACGATGAACAGTCCATGAAACGTGGAATAAACTTCGAATTTTGCATGCGATTATTTCTGCAATAATAATAATACTGTAATAATAAAAAAACAACGCGGCTATATCTGGACACTCGAGGAACCTGAAATTTGAAACACAAAAATCATCCAGAATTGCCTCGTTTTTTCTTTCCTTTTTTTTTTACGCAAGGATATCTTCAAAGTTACTCGAAGTATTTTTATTAAAGCGCGTGCAACTTTTACAGTGTTAAGCAGGAATTTAAAGTTAGTCCAAATTTCTAAGCTGTCAAAAATAAGATGAAGAAGAAGAGCAAAATGGCAAGCTAACTGTGTTTGGTCGAACCTTCCGGGCTGTGTTTACTTGGCCTCAATTTTTCTTGCCTCGGAAACAAGAGGGGTCACGTGGGGTATGTCGACGATGAGCTCATCAGTCGACACATCATCTCACGAAAATACACAGAGTCATTAACACGCGTCATTCAATGAGGTAAATAACAGAGACTGACATTTTCCACGCGCACTTCCCATCAAAAATGTGCTAATTTCGAAAAACAAGAGAAGAGCGAACACCAGAAGGTCAAGAAAGAAAAGCGACTTCCAAAGTCCAACCATCATTTTAAATTAGTTTTGAATAAATATGAGAGGTTGGGTTTGAATTATGCTACGCTATGATAAGTATTTTGGATTTTAGTACTGTATTAGGTCAATCCATTTAGGTTTAGATACGTAAGGTTGTTTACAGTAGGCTGTTGATAATTATAAAGTTGCGAGTTTCACAATCCAGAAAAAAAATATATTACAAATTAAAACGCGACATTCATACGTAAACTATTCCGTAGCACCGCATGACAAAATTGCAGTTGCTCCACTTAATAGTAATTGTAAATAACTTGTAAAATAAATGAGGATACAAGATGAAGCAAATAAAAACAAAGATGCAACAACCTAAATAAAGAATTGGAATCATGAGTAACATACACCCCTGACAAATTACTGTCGTTCCACACGGATCCGAAGCTCCGTGAATGAACCCACACGCGCAGGTTGCCAATTTTAATTTTTCCTCCCTTTTTTTTTTTGCACATCACACTCCTACGCGATTTCCCCCTCAACCCACACAAGTAGGAACTGGACTGAAAAATTCATCAG